TTGCTTTTCATTTATTTTTCGTTTATTTTTTCATTTTTTTTTCGTTTCGTGTTTGCTTTTCATTTATTTTTCGTTTTTCTTTTTCGTGTCTTTTTCGTTTTGGCTAGTTTGCGCCACAAATCAACGATAGTCAGGTCCATTTCACAAAAGCTAAAGCAAAATAGAAGGACATGTGTGATCCACCAGCAAAGAGGGTTCAGGACTAGCTCACTTGGCCGCTTTCCTTCAGGGGAGGCAATTGCAATTGAGCTCCAGCATTCTTTTGTCTTTCATGATCGCTTTGGCTAGTTTCGGCCACACATTGGCAACATTGTAATTTAATTCATGTGTTCATGTATATAATTTAGTCTGTTCACGTTGTTTTAAGTTCAGATAGTTTCGGCAACGCGTGAACGACAGTTTAAGTACATTTCACAACAGCTAAAGCAAAATAGAAGAAAGTGACTAGCCGACCAGGGTAGCAGCGGGTAGCAAAGAGGGTTCAGGAGTAAGTGACTTGGCAGCCTTAGCTTCAGGGGACGCAAACGATAAACGCAATCACGCATGAAAAAGCACCGGTGGGCGTGTAAAAAAAATGATGATGCAAACGAAAACACACATTTACATGAAAAAAAGACACAAATGGGCATGAAAAAAAATGATGATGAAAACGAAAACGAAATGAAAAAATAAATGTTTTGTCCACCCCCAGTCTGTGGCTGTAAGATTCTCATAACGCTACTCAGGGATCACTTTGGCCAGTGTGCTGTGGAAGAGCTAAGTTGCGCTACTCAGGGATCACTTTGGCCAATGTGCTGTGGAAGAGCTAAGTTGCGCTACTCAGGGGTCACTTTGGCCAGTGTGCTGTGGAAGAGCTAAGTTGGGCTACCGGGCGTACTGAAGTCCAAAGTTCTAAAAATCTAACAACCCCACAGTCCTACGGGTGGGGAACAAATTCCCCAGGCGAGACTCACGATTTAACAAAAGTCAGGTAATTTACATACGAAGTCAACATACAATAAACATTTTAAAACCGCCTGCATTTTGTGCAAATCGCGTGTCAAAACACATGCAAAAACAGCGGGGCCGTTGTGGCACCCGTGACCTTGCTTATGGTTGGCTTCATCCCTGGCGCAACACATCGAGGAACGCAAAAGCATCGTCGACCACACTTCCAAACATGTTTAGAGACAGTTTAGGGGTTTTCATGCGTTGCTTTTTGAAACCCTGCGATACCCTGCGGCAGCCCAATGGCCTCTCCCTGAGACTGGATGGGCCTGGCAAAATGGGAATGTATTCGCAAGAATTCACTGGTGGATTCTTTCTGCATGCAATTGAGGCGGCTAAAATCCTGGGCATGTTAACTAGACTAAAAGCTTTGACTAACTCAAGGCGCTCAACCTCTCGGACCCAAAGCCAAGGCACCCTAAGTAGCTTTCACAGAAGAGGCTCCAAATTGCAATGCCTCGAGAGGAGCGAAGTGCCACCACTGTCTGACTGAACACACTCTTTCAAGAAACGAGTGGTACCCTTCTTGCCACCTCTTTACGGCCCCATCACCGCTTGTCTTCTTACGTATCAAAACGCATTGGGGCCCATGCGCCCATCGGCTCCACCAGTTGCGAAGCTGCCTTTCTCGCGTTCAAATGCAACAGAAAGCACCTCAGCGCTGGTGAGACTGTGGAGCCCACTAGAAGCACTGACATTGAAGACCATGGGCAAACATCCCTGCAATATCCTGCAATCATATCCAATGAAGTAGACCCTGCATCCTATGGGCATTGCATAATAAGCAGTTCAATCAAGCAGACCCTACCGGAGCACACTGAGCTCTTCAAAAGTTTCTCACCTCCCCTGGCGCCACAAGCTAAAAACACCTCGCACAACAAAAGGTTCCAAAGCTGAATCTAGCCGTTGGCTGGAGCTACATGCAAATTGCGAAGGATAAACGCTGCAAAACTCATTGTCGAGCAGAGTGTTGAATTCCAACTATACTCGCCGACACCTGACTGGGCAAGTCTAGGCAGCACGGACTGCGTCATCGTGACATACCAGGCGGTTGAGGGACTTGGCAGTCCTTGGGATGAGGATGTCAACTCTTGGAGTTCACTATAGGCCACTGCGAGGAGAACTCATGATGGTTTGTCGACAGAACGGGTTCCCAGCCCCAAGTAAGCAACGATAAGCAACGGCTAGAGTTGGCTTGACTTTGTGTGCCCACAGAAATCTGGAACCCTCAAGCAAAGCTCTCACCCTTCGACATCAGCGTTGCAGCTTGCTGATGCATCATTCAAATGACACACACACACACACCGCACACCGTCACACACCCAGAGCCACTTAAAGAGCCGCCGTAGAGGCTGTCTTGTCAGGATCGCATGTCATCTCTCGAAGGCCTTAATGCACGACCTCTTCGTTTCTGCCTACTTCGTGTGAAGCGTCACCAGTGGCCCTTGAACCAAGCCACAGCTTACCACCCTGCAACGAAGCGTCTTTCCGTCAAAGAGCTCAACACGGCGATCCCAGCCTGGGGAAGGCAAATGTTTTAATGGTTGATAGAACAATTTAGACATTGAGAAGGACACGAGGCGGGCAAAGTGTAAGTATAAATGTGAATAGATTATATATATATATAGTGATATAGTGGCAACTATTGGCACCACGCCGTTCTTGTGCCGTAATGAAAAGCTGTACTTGAGACTCAAGCAAGCCTCTACCCAGTGCGCTTGCAATGGATTGAGCCGAATTGAGCCTCCAAGTCGCCCAGACTTGAAAAACATATCGGGTTGTCCAAAGAATGAACTGCCATTGGCCATTCAACAGTCGTTTTTAAAAGGGCAAGGTGGGCCTAGGCAGATTTCGCTGACACTGGGAACTCCCACGGGCAGCTGCAACGAGGCGCAAGTCAGGCCTTCTTGCAGGCAAGCTTTTTACGTTTCACAAGTCTGCCTCTTTTGCACTCTTCCCTCGAGCCTCAATCTAGCTGGCACCCCTGACCTTCATGAACCCTCAGCCAAGCAAATCCGGCGCCTTACTGCAAGGGCATTGATGCCACGCCTCATGCGGGAAGCTACTTTGACTCAAATCAATGGACGGGAGGGAATGATATGAATCATCGAGCAATGTTGGCACTCACCACTCGGCACAGTCTGAGCACTCCTGACTTCTCAGCCATATACTTGATTTCATTGGCAGGCCTTAGGAAGTTTGGATGCCGTGCGATTCTGTCCGCCAAAGGGGTGAGACATCTATCAGATTTGCTTCTCGTGTGCTAAGCTGCACAACAAGAAGTGCATCACTGAACCTTTTAAAGGGAAGACGGCCTAGATCTGACCTGATGCTATCTCTTTAGAATACTTCGTTCCTACATGTGCTGACTCCCCTGCTCTGTGGATGCTTGTGTCCATTCTTGGGGAATCACTATCTAGTGAGGCGCTTGAACCATCTGGTCGATCAATACTGCAAAGGAGTATCACCCGCCTTTGACTGTACCTGTTCGAGGGATGCCGTTCATGTCGAGACTGGTGACTGAGCACCATAATTATGAGGTCCCATGGGCCTGCAATCTGGCCATCCCTCAGTGCCAGCTACGTCCAAACAGCGGAGGATAATATGGTTAATAGGACCTTGAAGACACTGTAAGACTATGTTCATTTTCGGGGAGTGTTGATCAGTCTGCCAGGGTCCCCAGCTGATGATAGGGAGCTTCAGCCTCATGGGTTACTCTGCACTCTCTTGCACTTCATTGCGGTGAGTTTTGCATAAACATGGAGAAACATGCGAAGACTAACCTCAAGAAAGCCTTTGAGTTTAATGATTCAATCAGGGAAATACTTCTGATATCTTCCGATGATGCCCAGGAGGCTTTTTTCCGCTACGAGATTACTGTAGACGCTATGGCTTGCGAGCTTAAGGCTTGCCACCTCAAGGAATGCAACACATCCTTCAAGGAAAAAACAAGATGCTGCTAAAGCATGCTAAAGTACCAATCCACTTGGTCTCTCGCAGCTTGGACCTTTGATGAACTCAATTCGATGCCTAGGTGCCGGACTGCACTTGGTCACTGAAGTAGGTGTAGGGTCATATGGTGCTGCTTGGAACTGCTTCTCGAAAGCCGGCCCTACAAAGAGAATGGTTATTTATATGCGTCTGAGCCCAAGTTCTTATGTTGGAAACCAAGTCCTTGTCAAGGTCTGAGCCACCCCTTCATCACCAAGCTGCCGGTGGCCTGGGCAACCCTTTGGCGGCATGCGGTGCAGGGTCATCTTTTCTCCGCCGGCAAAAAGCGGGATTGCGGCCTTTCTCGTTTCAAGCCGGTAGGCTGCAGTTAACTGAGTTGGTCTTGGGCTCCGCTCACATTTCCAGGAAGGTTGACCAGCGAGTTTGGCTCCGGACAGGCATTGAAGCGCAGGCACACCAAGATCCACTCTCGCCTCTTCTGTGGTAGAGAACGTCAGCAAGCATTGTGATTGTCGAATGCAATTGCTGCAGGGCTGGGAGCTGCTCAAAGTTCACGCGCGGATCGAGGCGGCAAAACACGTGCGCTGAAGAAGTCTCTGGACCATTTTTCGTCATGTGGGGTCCAAACCTCAGAAGGAATGCTCCTTCAAAAGACTTGATGGCTACCGCATTGTTATATGAACATCTCCAAATGCATGCTCTCTCCCTGCAATTAGACCAGCGCAGCATGTACCGAGTGGCAGTTCTGTCAACGCTAGTGCAGTATCCCGGATCCCCTTCGACCTATCAAAAACACTAAAAAGTTATAAAAAAGAAACACCGGAACCCCCCTAAAATGCAGCTTGCATTTCTCAATAGTACAATGCCACTAAAACAATTCTGAGGAGTTCTAGGTAGGTTTCATTTCTTAGGCAAACACACCTGGCGCCAATTCCTGCCTGGTTTTTGTAAAGGAATTTCTGCCTCCAATTTGGATGTTTCTCAATCTGTGACGCGAGTAAAGGACTTCATACCAAACTTGTGAGGGGCAACTTTCGATTTTGAAGTTCTTCCCAGGTATTTGCAATTTTGGTGCTTTCGGAATCCTTAAAGGAGAAGAATCAATGCAATCAACGTCTTGATACGAGTGCAACATTGTCCCAGTGGACTTGTCGGTATTGAACACATTCCCAGGAACCTGAGGAAACCTTTGTATTGGGGGGGAGGGTATGTTTCTTAATACGTTGATGGGATTATTAAAAACATTTAAGAACTGCCACAACATATCCTCAACCAGTGGCCAGCTGGGTGACACCAAAAGCATCCAAAAGCATCCAAAAGCCATACTCTTATTATGTTGGCCAAGGATCTTGGCCATCAATATAGAAATTCAAGGATTCTCGAGGGATTGCAAGCAAGGTCTCATGCAGGCTTGGATGGTAGTGAGTCGTGGAGATGTTCAGTGACGACCACCAGCTCCAATTCACCTGCCAGCAATAGCTTCTAGTCGCTGTGCTATATAGTAGCCATGGCCTCCAACCTAATAGCCATGGCCTCCAACTAGCGATGGCCTCCACCCTAGTAGCGATGGCCTCCACCTAGTAGCTTCTTGTTAATAATAAGGAACAGGGGTGAAGCAATTGCATCCTCGTGCTTGCCTGGTGAGGTTTCCGTTCTACTACGATTCCGGTAGACGCAACATGTTGGATCCAGGAGAGGTTAGCCCTGCAGCATCATGATCCAGGTGTCGGTGTCAAATCTGTTGCTTTTTGCAGCCCTTGCTGGATCGTCTTCAATTTCCTAAGGACCAAGACAATGAAGTATGAAGCAAATTCTTCTGCAAACTTCTTCGTCAAGCCTCCTCTTCGTTCCACCAACAATTCATCACCCTCTTCTACTACCCACACGAACGAAACCATTCCAACCCCCCGTTGGCCTTAGCTTGCAAGTGTTGAAAGTGGGGCTAACACCCCCCTTGTCCCCAAATGTTGCAACCCCAAAAGTTCAAAACCGTAAAAGTGAGCGTCTGAAACCACTTCTCAGTTGCTTTTGGAAGGGCACCAGTGTCGCCAGTATAGCCAAACAATAATAGCGTATTGGTCTGCTGCCCAAGTTGCTTGTTTCAGGTCCGTGTCCGCAAGGATCGACAAGAAGTACGGTGACTCATAATCCGGAGTCCTTCGAGATATGAGTGCAAGGCAAGGCTTGAAATGGCAAGCGTCGACGAACCGGCATATCATATGAAATGAGGCTGGGCCGATGATTCCTTTTTGCTCCATTGACTTGGCATGAATATGAGCCCTCGCCCGTCAAGCAATTGATCAGGTAGCGCTTCTGAAACACTGGCTGGTGCAAAGAACGGAAGTCAGCCAAGAGGTCAGTCTGGCTGCCAATGTTCCTTACCAACGGCTGCAAAAACTGTCTGATATATAATATATATATATACTGTCAATCGTTTCGGGATGCTTTTTGCATTGTGACTGAAGCGCAAAACTCTTCTGGCTTGCAAAGGCATTCTCTTGTAGCATCCGCAGCTTCTGAATGACTTTACCCACATCAGTATCAATCCTTTTCAAGATTCTGGACGATGGCCCCATGAGGTGTCAGCATCGACTTTAGTCTCTGGTAGAAGGATATGCTCCAAACACTTTCCTCAGCTTCCCACCAAAACAACCTCCAATGCCAATCATACCAGAAGCCAAACACGGAAACACGGGTACTGGAGGCGTGGAGTTGGGACATTTGCAGACTTGCATATAGATCGTATTTGCATGATGCGGCCGTTGCAATTGAAACTTTCAGCTTCAGTCTGCAAGCAAGGTGCCAATGGTTCATCGGTGGAATCAATAATGCAAAGGTCGAAGGTACTCTGCCTTGTCAAGGAATGGGCGGCAGAACCAAAAACAGTGTACAAATTGGAGGCTCGTGCAAGTTGGCTGAAGCTGATGGGTGGTGGAGTCATGACACAGTGCAGTCTAGTGTCATCTCATGAGCGTGATCCTCAACCCAGCGTACTGCGTCACCCACCACTAACTTATGGCGCTGATCCGTGAAGGCTGCCGAAAAGTGTGGAAAGAATCGCTTGGACATCTGGATGACCCTCTCATCAATCTCGACCTGCAAACACCAAAGCGATGTTGCACGCTTCAATGCTATTGACAATTTGATGTGTCTCATCCAGGCCACACAGTGCAGTCTGCAAGAATCTCACTCAGCGCACGAGCCAAACTCGGATGAGTAGAAAACAAATAAAGGCCACGGTTCTAGTCACTAATGCGAGTCCCTCAAGTGTTGTATCTAGTCTACATCAGGTGACCTCTAATTTTGCACCAGAATGGAAGCTACAGCTTTGGCAAGCCAGCAAAGTTGTCATTATGCACATTATTGCTTCTTGGCAAGAATAGTAAACTTAAACTATGATAAGCCAAAACCATTGCATGCAATCAACCTTATATATAATGTATAGATCGCGTTGGTTCCAGAATGCTCCAAGCCCCTCTCTGCACGCCTGGAGGAGCTCAACCATTGGGTACTTCAAAGCCACTGTCGCCACTCCACCATCTCCTCCACCCAAAACCAGCACCTTTCGCAAGGGGCTGGGGCCAAGAGAGGCCATCATGACCTGGGCGAGCAACGGTAGAAAGGAGATCAAGTCAAACAGCTCGCGAACACTTGAGAAAGGTGATTCATGTTTACATTGTTTGGGTCCTATGAATTGGCCAAGCCAAGTTTTGTGATTGCTTTTGCCAATTGCACGCTCATGATGCAAATGGACAGTCTCCTGCGTAAGGACTCAATAATATTTCTGATTTTTGTGCACGTCGTGTCCCTTGCCGTCTTCGATTGCACCGTGCACTTCTAGGTCATCAAGTTTTTTTTTTTTTTCACAACAAGTCACATGAACCAAGGCTTCGTGGTAAACATCTCCGTAGACGTCAGTGAGTTGGAGTTCACCATCCTCAGTGTCTCCAAGGCCACAACAACATTGCCTTCCAATGGCATCGACAGTTTGTCAAATGTTTGCACCTAGTCGATGCTACCCGTCAATTAGGTGGACCGGCCAAGGCTCCAAGAACAGCGTCACGCACTCCGAATCGCCCGCAAAGCTCAAGGCTCTCGTTACCTGAACCGTTTGGAAATTGGTCCTCTCAGTCTCAAGAAGCTGGAATTCCTGGCGGAAGGACGCTACTAGGAGCAAGGACGCTACTGGGGGCTCCTGGCCTTACTCCTAGTAATAAGGACCCTATACTAGGAGCAAAGGGCATCGCTACTAGGAGCAACGACGCTGGGTTGTGGGGTGGAACCGCGTGTCGAACCTCACTTCTTCTCATGAGAACTGGAATGGAGACTCTCAGCTGTGAAATTAGGGTGCAATTAGGGCAGGGCTTTTTGCAAGTAGTTGTCTGGCAGTCTGATCTGCGTTTTCGGAGCCAATCCGGAAACTGGCTCCAAACCCCTTACGGTCCAGAACTCCTTACAAGTGTGGCTTGTGTGGCATGGATTAAACTTCAGTAACTTGAGACATAACACATGCAACGAACTGCACAACAAGCATGCTAACCACTTAAGGCATTCGTGTTTGAACCAGTTTGTAGGTTAAGCAATTCTCCTGATCTTCATAGCCGCAAGTTTGCCGCGACACTTGAGGCAACTCCGCAGCAGCCATCTTTGGTAATGAGGAGCTCGGCTCCGAAGAAACTGTCAATCCCAGGACCTGACAAGAAAACACAAAATATGCGGCATCTGTTGTTTCTTGAAGCGCGGGGGGGGTAGGCTGGTAGAAGAGGGAGGTAGTAAGGTAGCTAGTAGAAGCTAGGTAGCTACTAGCTACTAGTAAACTACTGTCGACAGGACGCAGGATAGCTCAAGCTAGCTTGCTTGAAGAAGCGCTCGCACTATTCACTATTCATTTGGTTCCTAGATTTTTAGGGAAACTTGTTTCTGCTCTGGTCTCCGTTTGAAAAGGTATTCAGATCGGGCATGGTAATAGGAGAGTGCTTACTTGTGTGCCTTAAGAAGCGTCAGGCTTGGCGTCAACAAGGCTCGGTGCATGTCTTCAGTGTAGAAGCAGGTCTCTATGCCTTGCAGTTGCCACCAGC